GGTAAAGTGGTAAAGTCAAATGTCATAAAGTCAAGTGTTCGTAAAGTCAAGTGTACTTGACCCCATGTATTCTCTATGTATTTTCTCTGCGGGGCTCCGCACGGAAGAACCCTTCGCGATGCTTTCGGGAACAAAGCAACCAGTACCTTGCTGGGGTTAGCTTGGCTTCTTTTCAGAGGATCCGACCTATATAAGACATGCTATCCAACAAGAGGTACCGGTAGAAGACCAGACCACCCATAATACGCTGTCTAAAGGAAGTTCTTAAAACAAAAATATGGTAACCCTAAAAACACCTAAACACTACGTTTAAAGCCCTGAGCCATGAACCGAACCCTGAACTTTCATGTACCTATGAACCCGAAACCCGAAACCTCATGTAGGAACCTGGTTGAGAAACCGAGGTCCTGTGACCTCAAAATATTAGCATCCATGAAAAGAGCCGTAATGAGGACCAGAAGACTCTCAGTCAGGTCCCTACATTAACTCTATAAACCCTAGACGCAAAACCTAGTGTAGGGGCCTTAATCATTCGAGCAGGGTTTTGGGGTATACTCTACGAAAATTTTAAGGAATCCCCAAATTCAAAATAGTATAGGCAATTATTAAGGCTCCCTTAGTATGCAGTTCTTTGGCTTCGTGCTCCGGCCTTCCTCATGCGCTCGAAAGGCTTCGTAGCCACACCAAAGCCTCACTCATGTGACGTCTGTTTTTGCGAGGGGTTAGGGGTTCAGGGTGTCGGGGTGAAGGAGCTCGGGATTGAGAGGGCTTTTGGGGTTTAGGGTTTGAAGCCCCTCACTCACATATCGTGGTCGAGCCTGGTGTAGATGCTGCAGTGGCGGTTTGGTACCACCAGAACGCATGTCGAGGCTTTGAGTGCCACCGCAAAGGGTGAGCTGCTGGGAGACTGCAACAAAACACCGATGTCCAAATTCTGAGGATTGGCCAGCATGCAGCACCAGGCGTGTCGTGCGTTTGCAGGCCAAGAATGCAACACTTTAGAAAGGAACTCGAAAACGCCCTCCTGCCAAGCATGGCTGATAAAGAGATCGCAGTCCAAACCATCCGGATGTTGCAACAATGCCCAACTCACTTTACCGAACTTCTCCGTCACTGGCATGATGTGCTGCTTGTTCACTGTATAGATGCTTGGACCATAAAGCGTGTCAGAGACCTTAAAATCGTCGCTGCCATCGTCAGGTCGGCGGATTGCCCCTCCTTTGATGCCCTTCTGCACCTCCTGGCCCAAGTACTTCAAGTCCGAGCGCGTGACGCACCAGCGGTCTGGAGGAACGGACTCGTGTAAGGCGGTAGCCTCCAGCGTCGTGTAGGCTCGAGAAGAACGCTCCAATGCAGCTGGCGAGGTCATGAGGTAGGGTTTAGGATTTAGGGTTCAGCGGGATTCGTTTTCGGAACCCTAAACCCAAAGCACCAAACAGCCCTAAGGTTCTCAGGGCTCTTTTTAAGGGATTCTATGGTTTGGGTACTAAGCGTTCCTCTTAAGGGGGTCGATAAAGGGTACCAGCGGTTTAGGGCCGTTTAGGGTTTACAATCTACAGTAAGGGGTTCCAGGGTTCCCAGCGAGCTTGATATGCCTGTTTTTGTGAAGAGGTCTAGTATGTGGGTAGTTGTCAAAATTACGGTCCCTTTTGGGGTACCCTAAATAATAGGTGCCGTATTATATTAAGGACCCAAAAAGGGACCATAATTTTGACAACCACCCATGTGGATATCAAGTAGTTATATAGCTTAACTCAGGCGCATTGGGCTTCCTCGCCAGCAGCGGCTAGATGTCCACGACGATTCGAGGATGGGGGGGGGGGGGGGGGGGACTGAATACAACGATCCCCAATGAGACCATAAATCTAAGAACTCCCATACCTGCTCCGAGCATCGTGGCAGCAGCATGCGCTGTAGGATGCGAGTTGAGGCCAGGACTTTACGAATCAGTTTTGGGGCTCAGGGTTTGCGGTCTTAAGTACAGTGGTCCACCTCAGGGTTCTAGAACCGTCTTGCCTTTTGAAGCATACATGAATACATGATATATGCCTCTCTCTCATATATACACATAGACACAGGTGTGTATATACATGTAATATTTATTTTTATTTACTCATGTTTCATTCATGTGCAAAAGCAAGCTCATCAAAAAGGAGCCGTTTAAAGCACGTACAATCCGCAAATTGAAGGTTGTGGGTTTTTTCCAATACGAAAATGGCCCCAGCGGAGGGCTCCGGGCTGAAAACTGAAAGCGCAGACTTTTTCAAGATCTGCCGGATGAAATATCCTACCACAGTCAAGGGTCTATAGGGCTGTAGGTTTAGGTTACAATATAGAACCCTAAAGTCGTGGACCCTGTCGCTCGAAAGCCCATCTCCCAGCCGTTTTGAAGCGTGCGTTCAAGCTCTGCCCATTTCTGGGCAGATCAGGTCTTGCCACGGCAGGCAGTGCTCTCAGAGCAACAAGAATAACTAAAGCTTGTCCGAGCGGTGGATACATCACGAAGCTTAGGGCTGATTTGTTTTGCAGGGTTTAAGCTCAAGGGCTAGGTTGGAGGTTGAGTTTAAGGTTGAGTTTATCTGGGCCTTGAAACAAGACAGATCAAGATCGCGACGTACACCAGCTGGCACCACAAAACTGTGCCGTGTCATAGGCTTCGACAAAACAAGACCGGTTCAGGAAATAAGGCACGTGTGACCCATTTCCAAAACTGATCTGGCACTTGCCGTTGGAAGCCACTTCGCGGCATCTACGGCAAAGCTTAGGCAAATGCCTGCTCCGAGCCCTTAAACCTGAGCCGTCTTAACCACGCCCATCCAGGCGCAAGTGCGTACCAGCTTAGCCGTACGAAGGTGGTCGAAACCACCTAGGAACTGCAGCGTAGTAGGTTTAAGGGCGCTGCGGTCACACACTCCGGTTGAACCCTGAAGAGCGTCGCCGCTATGGAGGTTCAAAAAAAAAACGTGGGCATGTCGCAGAGTTCTGACATATGCACGCCATACTTGCCCAGTAACCTGGGGGACTTAAAGGTTGACCTTGAAAGATTATACAAGGATCGCACTACCCCCAACAGGTTAACGGTTCACGGTTGCCTACTCTACCCTACTCTACTACGTGGATTTGCAAACTAAGCTTATGCAGCAACCCGTCACCTTGAACCCGGTACCTTCATATCCAACCGAATCCTACATGTGGGCTTCCCTGACTGTCTAAGTCTGACTCTTCAACCCTACAGCTGGCCATCCTAAACCCTATATAAACCCTAAACCCTAAACCAGGGCTCGAATTGCCTACTAGCTGGCCGTAGCTGTAGGAAGATCGAAGGCCCCAGCACCTCAAGGTGCGTCAGGGTTCGAGCGGACGGCGCAACGCCGTACTATAGCTCCCCTACGTGGCATCGACGTCAGAGACAACGTCGCTCAGCTGCCCGCCGAGTTCTACGTGCAGGTCGAGGTGCCAGCTTCAAACAGCTGCAACTTCTGGCTTCTCACCACGGCACACCAGTGACGCAGCGCCGGAGCTTGTTACGTCAGTGCCGGGTGATGGGACGCGGCGCCAAGAACAAACAGCCATGGCGAAACGAAGGACAGGAGTGGGGGCATTTGTGGCGTGGAGCTTGGTCTCCACAGTTGCGGTCCGAGCAGCCGCGACCCTGGCGACAGCCACAGGGACAAGGCCAGGCACATTCCTTCCCGTCGTACACTACCATGCCACAGAGTACAGCAGACGTCCGGACGACGGCAAGTGCTACGGAGCCACAGCTACAGCATTTCGGCCTGGCACATGGTCTACAGGGGCTGCTCAATACAGCGCGAAAGGCAGAGATCAAGCTGCAGAAGTTGCTGGTCTCCAAGGACAAAGCTTCGGAGCAATGGCGCGCTTTCCAAAAGGGCCTCGAAGAATCGTTCCTGCGGGAGCGTGCGAAGTTCCACAAAGACAATGCAAAAAGGGAGAAGGACATCGAGGAGGCCTCCTACGAGCAGAGCAAAGCGTACGAGTCCATACAGAATGCCTTTTTGCGAGGCAACGAGGCCGCGCCGAGCAGTGCCGAGCAAGTAGCCGCAGGCGAAGAATGGGCGAAGCTGCGATCAGGATGGGACCAGGAGGAGGGTTCCACACTGGAACACATTCTGCACAAGGCCTTGGCTGCACCGAGGCCGGCAGCCGGGCAGAGCAAGCAGCTCAGCCCAGAGATACAGCAACTCTTGGCCTCCATTGGGGCCACGGCGACATCTGCACGGACTACTATCCCGGCTATGGATGGACAGACAAGGTACCTGGATCAAGCGCCGGTGACAACGAACCAGGATGCCAGCGCTTCGGCGGCCCCCCGACTGGGGAAGTCGACAGAACCTACGACGGACGACATGCAGCATCCCTCGAAATTTCTCAAAGTGGACATGGTCTCCTCACCGGCGCATCCGGGACAGCGGGACCTAGGGACTCCCAGAGTCCCAACAACAGTGGAACCACCGCGACAGGACATCAAGTCTGCGACCAAGCAGGCCCCAGTTGCAAGCCAAAGCCACAGTGCTCTTGCAGACAAGTTGGCTGCGCGCAGAGCGATGGATGGTTCCAATCCGATGCTGCCCTTCCAGGGTGCGGGTATGCGCCCATCTGGGCTTCCTCCCTATGCTTCCGGTCCGGCGCCCTCTGCGGTGGCACTGGACGAGGACGACTCAGATCACCCGGACGTAGAGGACAGCGAGATGAAGGATGGGACCCAGTCGCCCGGCCTGGGGAAGCTGGGTTAGCAGCGCACCTTCTGACCGCGGTGCCGTGCAAAAGAACTCGTCGAGAGGAAGGACAAAGCTGCCTGGAGAGGCCAGTCGGTGTGTCAGCTGAGCCTTTGGGTGGCTCCCAGTTGACCACTGACGAGTTCCCCCTCGGGCAAAGCGGTTTTTCCGTTCTCGATGAGTGCTTTGACCAGAGGCACGGCCACAACGGTGAGCGCAGAGTAAGTGGTGTACAGAATGTACATGTCCGTCCATTTTCCCCTGCTGTAGATCAGTTTCTGGGATGTTCCCTTCTCAGTAGGAGCAAGCCTACAATATTCAAGGCGGTCAGACCTTTACAGTCTGGTTTTGACTATACCGCCAAGGCCTTGATGATCACGGTCAGGTCTGGTGCGGCCGAACGTGCCAGGCCAGTTCCTGGGGTCACAGCCTTTGCCTTATCGTTGCGAAACTGTGGAGCGCTAAACAACTGTATCGGTAGCTCTGGGACAGTGGCCCACAGGTCCTTCGCGTATGACAAGGAGCAAGCCCAACGTATAGGTGCCGGCCCACACGAGGGCTGTGCTCGGTGCAAGCAGTCCCTATGTTGCTGGACAGGGGCTTCGCAGGGACATTGGTCTCTTGTCTCCTGTGGAGTTCCCGGTCCCGTCTTCCTCGCTAGAGCCCAGAGACACCGGACTTGTGTTTTCTGTGGCCTGGCCCCGCCTCAACCTGGGCCACAGCCCTTGCCGAAGCCGGAGCCTGGTTCAGATCCAGAGCTCCTCATAGAACGTGCCTTTTGCTTCATACGCAGAGGCCCCTTTTGTCCGGTTTGTCGAGCGCTTAAGAAACACATCGGTAGCTCTGGGGTGTTCGCCGACAAACCGGATCTGCTTGACGGCACTTCTCTAGTGTTTGCCTTGTACACAGGGCTGCAAGCCTTTTTCCTGCACTTTTTACTGCTGGCAACGACAGCCATGATCAGGCTCTATGTGGTTGCTTTGGGAGCCCACAAGAGCCCGCTTGGACGACTGCTCCTCCTGCCAGCAGTCGGCATCCCGTGTGCCTTTTTGCAGCCTATAGCAGCCTATACACCCGGAAGATGCCCAGGTTCTGCAGCGCCCTCCCCCCTTACGAGAGCGGCAAAACAGCAGGGCAAGCGAGAACGCTACAGGCCCCGTGTCACCTATAAGGTGTGCAGGCCCGGTTTTGTTACCCGCCTTCTCTTGTGGTTCATAGGCTTCCGTAACATTCCGGGGCAAGTTTGGGCAGCGCCGCCTCTCTGGACAGAGGCTGTTGCCGAGGCGCAGGTTGCAATAGGTTTGATGCCAGAGACTTTTCCACCCCCCGCGGCCTCTGCGAATAGGATGCGACAGGCGCCCGCGAGGCCCAGCAAACCAGAATACACCATCCCTCTGGATGCCGAGCCTCTGGTCCTGCCTCTTGTAGGTGCAGATCGAGAAATGTCGAACCCCGACAATGCGATCGGGGTGACTATACTTGCAGCAACCTACCAGCCGCTCTATAGAGCCTTCCCGTGCGATAAAAGTGCAGGACCTACAGCACTGCTGGAAAACATCCTCGCTTGGGCCCAGCGTTGCCGCCCCGGCCTCAGCAGTATTGTGCCAGCCCTTCCTCAAAGATGTGAAGGTTA